TATTGTTTTCAATTAGATCTCATCAGGCTTAACTCTAATATATATAAAAGTTTACAAATAAAAATTCAAATATAAACCAATCATGGTGTTTTGTCTATAGGATAATACGATGGTGAATATAAATTGTGCACTTAATCATAATAGCAGTAATGCTAATAATAGTAATGATAAAAATGGTCTTATCAATAATAAGGATGAAATAGTGAGGCAATCTGTGATAACACGAATAATGAAAAAACAACATGATTAAACAAACAACTGTTCAGGTGGAAGTAGTCGATAAAGCCTAGTAAAAACAAATGAACCGATAAAGTAATGTTAGATTGTAAGGGAAGGAAATGAAACACGTTTATAATGAAGATAAGATTAAGGGATGATAAGAAAGGGGTTGAAAATACAAACAAACAAAGGGTGGTGAAGAAGTCATTAGTTGGTTATGTCTTAATAGGCCAAGGGAGGGATAATGGCTGTACGAACTTTTTTTGAATACATAGTTTAGTTTTAATAGTTTGAATGCCTATCGCCTCAGCTGTTTGCAGTAAACGAATACGAAGTCTATTGGAAAGATTCGGTGGGATACGATGAATCACTTTGAAGGCTCTCGTTTTCTCGATTACATGACCACTATCAATTAAGTGTGACAAAATTGAGCTACGAACTGTTTTTGTCTGTCCTTTGCCAAACCACGATGGGAGATGTTCACTAACACATTGGCTAAGCTGTCTAGTAGTACGCCCAATATAACTGTCACCGCAGGTGCAGTTGAATTAATAGATGCACATAGATGTGGCAAAACTATCAAGCTTATCCTTCGTTTGCGTCCCAATCACTCGTCGACTAGAGAATGAAAAACATAGGTGTGCTGCATAAAATGTTCTCCGTATACTCCTTGAAAGTCTTTGGAATAGAATCTCACTTGATAAGTCACCATTGAATTGTAACTTAATAAATAGAGGTTTCTTACGCGCAGTCAGTCTCCGGTTTTTTCTCCGATGTTTTCATATGTTTCTTTATGAAACTAATCGGACAGCCCATCTCCATCAAGGAATCGTGAATATATTCAATTTCCTTTTGGATTATCAATGTAGAACTTTGCTCAGAAGTGGACCATGGAAATGCAATGGGACTGTAATAAACAAAAATGTATGCAAGGAATACTAATTACATGAAGGGTAAAGAGGATTTTTTTCAGAATTCGGAAGATCACAGGAAGTGATTACAACTACAGTGTTAAGAAAGATTTGAGCTAGGTCTTCAACAGTATTCAACGACTAAATGTTCCCGAAGTTTCCAGTCATACGATCTACACCTGCATACATGGCTCAAACTAACAGTCAAAGACTTCACAGATTGGGGGCGTTTTTTGGCCTAACTACTCCTATCTCTTTTTCAGGATAATCCAATATCACGTTACATCCCTCGTTTGAAAAGACGGTGGTTCGGTATTCGTAACACGCATCTCAGTCTGTATCTTTATCAATGAAGCTTGATAACTTGGTTAATTTACTTTCCGTCCCAACTTAATTCTATGCCCAACGTCTTCAATACCTATCACATTATGCCACCTAGTATGAGAGACAAAACTGAAACATATTTTGTCAACTATGATTAGCCTCCCACCTTTAGTGGTCAGCTGTGTAGAAGAGCTTATCAAACTACTACCGGTAGATAACCGGATATCGCCCCTGCACCAAAGATGACGCAAGTTTTCGAAAAACAAACTAGTCTTTTGTATCCAAGCTGAGATTTCGTCAGCAATTAGTACAGTCGGGCTGATGCAACTCCCCAAATAAGTGAAGTGGTCAACATATTCAACCAATTAACCCTGTAAACATAACTCAGGAGTCTGCAGCACCACCTTACGTTTAAAAGGGTGAGTGAGTCACATGCCAGATACTCTCAGATGTGTGTTACTTGGCAGGGTAAAACCTTGTAGACAGCACAATTAGTATTCCGTCATCATCGAAATTTTGGACTTTTTCACTGATCTTCATATGATTATGCACTCTACCATTCATTTTTTTCGATTATAGTACCATTCGACTTGTTTTCCTTTTTGTGTGTGCTTCAGCAATATGTTGAAACTTGCGGATATCCAGATTATGATGTAACAACAGAGTACAAGGGCCAGGCAGCAGATCGTTTATTTAGGAAATCAACAGATATTTGTAGATTTTCATGTACATTATTATAGATTATTGTAAGCAAACAAACACAGTTTTATGATTGGTGGTTTCTCGCTAAACGTTAGTCTTTCATCTCTTTGTGGCCGTTTCTTGAAGTTCAGATCATCTGTCTGCAAATTGTATCCGCCTACGCGAAGTCTGCTGTGATTGGTTGCTGAGTCAGTCTTTGTTCTTATTTTTCTCATGACCAATACTGAGGATGTAAACATTGACGTAAATTACTGTCTACCAATTCGGCTAGCAACCAGCTCTCACCACAATGATAGTTCCTTTCCATAACTATCAAAATGTTTCACTTTCCACCTACTGTGGATTCACAACATAAATAAGATACCCATCAAAAACGCACCACTTAGTTACACACCAATGATTAAAATAATCTGAAAAGTTGTTTCTAACTTCTCTGAAGTCGCTTTTTACTAAGCTGACTTAGTGCGTCGGTGGCACAGTGGTTAGGACTCTCGCCGACCATGTACATGGTCCGGGGTTCGATCCCTGCCGGCGCACACCCGATATCTATGGTCGGCCTGAATTTGGGCTACCGATATCCATGCTGAAAATTCCACACTTGTACTGAAATACAGTGTGGAATCAAGCTGTAAATCAAAATAAAAAAATAAAATTCATATAACGTCTGAAAGTTATTATCTGCCTATTAAGTAGCTTATTTCTGTTCTTTCCGCTTGTTGACAACTGTTTGCAAGCTCATCTAGTGGTTTAATTCACAAGCCAATATTGGAAAGGTAGGACTATATTATTATTAGTATTATTCCCTTCGGTTCCGAGTGGAAAATAGGGCTTCAACAACACATTTCCACTTTCGATTCGACACTAGTAACTAGTGTGATGTGTCTAGTCCTCTCTTTGGTGCAGACTAAATTCTATCAGTCAGGTTGTAATGTGGTCACCATTCTAGGTAGCTCGCCATCACGGTGCACATTGATTTGATGATATATTAGGTGGTTGGAGGCGATCGGCAGGAAGCCTCACTCGACCTATGTTTCGTGCTAGTTGGCACTCACCAGCCAACAAGGCGTACCTGCAACCTTGAAAGAACTCATGTTCCTTTCTGAGATTCAAACCTGCGTCACCCAGTGCTGCAGTCGGGAACGTTACCACTGAGCTAGTTGGGCTGGCGATTGACCTCCTGTAGGACTGTAGTGGATATTTTGATTTGACACTAGTAACTAGTGTGATGTGTCTAGATACGCCTTGCTGACGAGTGCCAACCAGCACGAAACCTAGGTCCAAGGCTTCCTGCCGATTGCCTCCAACCATCTAATACATTTCCACTTTGTTCTATTTGGTGCTGTCCTCTTCAAATGGGTCCACCATTACCCACAACCTCTCATTTCCTCGTCACACGATCTCCTCCATGTCACCCTCTCACCGACAACTAACCCCTCGCTTCGCATTTTGATTCCACTCGAGCAATGGCTTAGTGAACGATGCCATTCGGTGACCTCCTAAGCGTATTCCTGATACATCTCTATTTTCTGCTACATTTTTGTTGAGCGATGTGAAGGACTAGACTATTCATTATATTCAGTAACCGTCTGCATGTTCATGCATTAAATAATAAATAACCTATCTTGAGTTATCTGTGGAAGTACTACCTTCAATAAACTTTTTACCTGTAGTCAACTGAATGAAAGCGTATTGATATAGCTAATAAAGCATAGCTTCAGTGCTCCATCGTCGTATCGACCAAAGGGCGTGTGTACTGCTCAACAGTCCGCTCCGTCCTCCTCTGTGGCTGTGAGACCTGGCCATTGAGAGTGAAAGACATGAAAAGATTAGCTATCTTTGATCATAGGTGCTGTGTTCTTTCTCCCGTGTGAAGTGGTATACTAAGGTGAGCAATATTGAGGTTAGGCTTCGTCGAGTGCTCGGTAAGGAGGGAAAATCAGTCGATGAGACTGTGAAATTACATCGACTGAGATGGTTAGTACGTGTGTTACATATGCCTAGCCATCGCCATCCTCGACGGGCGATGTCAGCTGACTGATATAGGGTCAGGTTGGAAAAGAGCCAGTGGTGGCCAAACCAAAACATGGCACCAGTGAATAAAATCCACAACAGTTAGTTTAAGCCAGTCACGAAGGAAGGTGTAGACTTCCTGACTGGTTGGGGTCCTCGGGACGGTAAAATCCAATGGTTGTAAACAATTGGTGACATGGCTCAAAATCGTTCTCAGTGGCGCAGATGCATGCACTCCTTGTGACTTATGATTTTCAATGAAACTGTTTTGTTCTTGGTTATTACTATTCCTTTATCTTACACCTCTGTTTACTGTCTCTAATATGCATTTTTCCTACTTTCTCCTCTTCCTTTGTGTGCTACATGGAGTGTGGCGACTTGAACTGCCGCACATATGTGCAAAGTTCTGTGTCGAAAACCGACCGACCGATCGTCGTATTCTAATCTGCATAGAAGACATTCTAGGTGTCAACTATAGTTTGTGTAAACAACCATAACAGTTTCGAAACAGTTCGTTTAACTTATAGAATAACTTAAAATTATTTAAAAAACATTTTATCATATTTATATGAGTATATTTACATAAATGAACACTGTTCATTTCATGTAACAGTACAATCATGTATTATTATTAAAATGGATTGTTATCATCATCTTTAACTTCTTTCTAACAAGAAGTAGAAAGAAATTCGGTTCTTTCTTTCTTTCTTCCACTCGAAAGTTTCAAGTTGTTCAACAGTGGACTCCATTGCACCAAGAATTTTATGTACATTGGAATATTTATTTGCAATTCTTCTTTGTGTTGTTGTATTTAATAATTCCTTGAAATCTTTTTTAATGTTTACTTTTATGTGTTCTGAGTCCACTGGCTTTAGCCATATATTCTCTCTTAGTTAATGTAAACAGTCGCGTAATTTGTTTCATTGGCTCACATCCAATTCTTATACAATTTTTATCTTGAAATAATGATAAGGACAATAGTATTCTATATAGGTCGTAAGTACCAAAATCACATTTCCTTCGCTTACATATTGAATTAGCTAACGCCGGTAAGCATATATCAATGTACAAATCTAAAGTCATACGTGAACGATGTTCACTTATCTTTTGAAATATCAATGAGTGCATAGCGTGAAATTCAGTTTTAGGAATTTGTACAATTTTATATAGTTCATATTTATGCAATAAATATATTGATTCCGATTCTCGTATAAAACTGCATATTAAACTACACTGATAAAGATATGTGCTCAGAATAGATTTTAAAGTACATCGTAATAAATCCTTGTCAGACAGGATAGTTGTGATAAAATTCCCTTCACTTGGTAAAATTTCAGAAGAAGATGAAGTGGTGGGGAAAGTACACGCGCTTAGTGTAGTACTGATTCCACTCGTCTGATTGTATGCAGACATTGTTTGAAAATGTGTATTTCACTCTGAAATATATATAATGTTTTATCAAATCCTATTGATATGCATTTAAATTATCACGTGACATATATATATGTATACATATATACATAGCAGTAGTAAAGATTGTTAATGGAAATACTGTTGAGTACTTTTCAATGTTCTATTCCTAGCAGACAGGGGAAATTCTATCCTTTTCTTAAACTACAGCAAAAATTATTAGACTAAGTCCCACATTTCTAAAGTTTTCCCCACGGCGTGCACGGGAGTCATTTATTGTTTTCAAAGGATCATCGATGAAAGGAAGTGATTTTCGAGTAAAAGTTGTACAGTAATAAATATTTTATAAAGACTCATTTCATTTCTGTGAAAGTGTGAACCACAAGAACGTTTTAAATAAGTTCATGGTGTCATTTGATGTAACCTCCTTGTTCACAATGATTCCAAATCAACGAAACTATTGAGATCAGTTGTCAGCAGTCTGATCTTCTCCCACTCCCAGAGTCGGAATTCAAACGCCTACTGCTAATGTGTACGATGGATATGCAATTCCAATTTGACAACACTCTTTACCGCCAAATAGATGGTGTAGTTATGGGCAGTCCACTTGGCCCTGTTTTAGCAGATATATTCATGTCCAGTCTGGAAAGAACAAAGTTGAAGCATGCAATCGACGAAACAACTTCTTACTGTCGATATGTTGATGACACATTTGTAATGTGCAACAATGAAAGTCATGCTTCCCACTTATCCAGATTATTCAATGACGCACATACCAATGTTGGATTTACTATGGAAAATGATGAAAAGTTCCACTTCCTCAACATCGCCATGGAACGCCTAGAAGACGGTAGTCTTCAAAAGTCAATTTGTCGAAAGCCTACATGGAAAGGACAATACTTACATTTTAATAACTTTTATCCAAATAGCTTTAAACGTGGTCTAGTCAAGACTCTGTACTATAGAGCGAGGAGAATATGCTCTACAAAGAAATTAGAGGAATAATTTGAGCTTCTTGAAAGGATGTTAAAGAGCAATGGGTACCCTCAAAAGTTCATCCACAAGTATGGAAGATCTGAAGTCACAAATGTCAAACAAATCACAGTGGGTAAAAAGCCAATCTACTTTCAACTTGATAATAAAGGTGAAAACATTTCAGCAATGGTCAACAGAAAGCTGAGTACGTCACTAGCCATAGCCTATCCTGCAGCTCAGCTGTTTCCCGTCTATCGAACGACTTGCTCTTTGGTTCAATCGAGAATCGACAGATATCCTTCTCATGTTAACTCCAGCCTGTATATTGAAATTTTCATGTATCTGCAGAAGAAGTCACATTGGAAGAACAGAAAGAATGGTATATCTACGATTTTCTGAACACGTACGAAAAAGCTTATGTCTTCAGCCGGGAACAAATGCTTTAAACAGTGCCATCCATCGCCAGGTATCTCCTTGACACGGGTCATGAGGCGGACGTCGAAAAGTCGTTCAAAATTATCAGTAGTGAAAAGAGCTCAATTCTCCTTAAATTTGCTGAAGCCATTTCCATCAACCTGATTTATGTGTCCAGATGGAAGCATTTATCAGTCTTTCTTTGCGCTGGTAACTGGATATTTTCATCTCCCTTTCTTCTGAATGCGAAATGGTGGTCAATTTTCCTACCTCACACTCTACAAATCTAGTGTGATTAACCACCACCATTGTCTCTCGTTTTACAATATTTTGTAATCGATTTCAGCCTAGCACGTTTGTCACACAAATAAGACTATTTATTTTGACACCCTATAACTAATCTGTTATTCTGCGTTAAAAATGTATCTGCCGCATAACTGGCCTTTATTGTAACGACAACAAATATTATATTTTATAATTGTAAGAACCTGAAGAGAAATTATTGAGAAGAATATTCTTCGTTCAGATTGACATTCTAGTACATTTATTAAAGAAATTGGAGTTTGATTGTTCGGTTTTTCACAAGCCTATAATTTCACTCTTATTCTTACAAACACTTTCATCGCTACTAATGTGAGCTAGGGGATTTTTCGTAATCGGACAGAATTTTAGAATTCATGGTTTCCGATCCAGCAGGTGACTAGTAGCCTGTTTCTCTCGTAACTGGAAGTAATTTCTGCCGATTCCTGATGGGATGAAGGGTACGTACGACTGAGTAGTACCAAACTAGGCTTAAACAGCTTTCCAGTACTCCCTGGTTTTCAGTACTTTTTTTCTAAATGGTGTCAGTTCGTGATGAAGTCTGTGTAGACAAAGACTCTTTTTGAATGTGAAGATTCTGCAATAATTCTATTCTAGTTGTTTAAATGATTCCGAACAAATAATGGAATCAAGTAAAGCTTGATTTATATCACATCAATACCAGGTTAAACTTATCTTTGCAGGTGGGTGATAAGAATTAGTCTGCTGTACTGGATTGAATGTTTAATTTAAACTATTTAAACATGTATGCTTATAGAAAGTTAGCATGGTTGCATACTATCACCATCACAATATCGTGAAAGTATTGATTGCTATAATTATAACGTATCATATTAATAGTTAATATAGCGTAAGACGATTATAGTCCTATGTGCTCGTTCAGGGCGTGGCTTCTATTCCTTCTTTATTACTATTACTTATTACTATTATAGCTTGACTCCACACAGTATTTTTGATACAAGTGTGGAATTTTCAGCATGTCATATCGGTAGCCCAAATTTAGCAGGCCGACCATGGATATCAGACGTGCGTCGGCCTAGGATCGAACCCCGGATCATGTGGATGGTTGGCGAACGTCCTAACCGCCATGTGGTCGTGATTCGGCAGCTACGGTGCTTGTTTTTGCTTCTGGTCCGCCTCGGAAAGGGCTCTGAAGCAGTTGCGCCACAGGATGATACTGAATGCTAGTCTCGTCTTGCAGGAGGCAGAGATAGGTGTGTTTGGTTCTCTTGAAAATCAATGCCCAGTCAATGGATGTATCATTACGTGCATAGTGCGTCGGTGGCACATGGGTAGAATGCTCACCAACCACGCATGTGGTTTGAGGTTCGAACCCCGGCAGACGCACTCAATCACATGGCCACGCCGGTAACAAAACCAATTAAGAGGGTAGGTTGGGCACGAGGCTAGCAACTCATTTCCGTAAAAATAAACACCACTGCGACCGAAATTCCAAACCTCTAGCTTGAAGCCCTGTGTTCCTTTGGGAACGCAAAAGGAAAAAAAATAAAAATATGATTATAATAATAAAACGAGAAGTCGTTTTGATGAACATTTTGATTAATATACATCAGTACATAGTAAAGTTGAATGAATACCATATAGAATAGAAAAACAAAAAATACTTAACAAGACAAAATCAAACAGTGAGAGTATAATTCGCTAGTTCATAGAGAAGGCGATAATTAATCGGGCAGTAGGTTTTCATCTACTTCTTCATCAGCAAATTCATCTTGAATTGGCCTAGAACGTGCTGCTGTTCTTGGTCTTTCAACACTTGGTCCAAGTGGATCATTATATACAATATTTTCATTTTCAACAGTTTCATCGAGTATAGCTGGTTGATTGCGGTCAGTTTGGCGATTTGAATTATTTTTGGAACATGATCTCTTTTGCCGATAACTGCGTTGACCATCATAGTTTGCACTACTTTCACGACTTTCAGCTGAAAAAAAAATGAAATAATTTTAAAATCTTCACAAGTTGTGCGGGAGAGAATAACTCTAAAAAAAGTATCCAGATAAATTCCTCGCAGTATTTATGGCTTCAGCTTTAACTGTAAACTTTATGTTTAATTCAGTTTTAGGCATTTGAAACTATGGGCACTGGGTTCGAGCCTCGGTGGGAACATCATCACTCACTGGGGGGGGATGCAGGCACATCCAGATGACAGGTCCCAAATGGGAAGAAGTGCGCATCCTCGACTCTACTGCTAGTGACCACCCACCAATTGACTTCATGTAAACTTTACGGCTTGATTATTATTTTGGTACACAAATTTATTTAATTGTATGCACGTATGTTCTGTTGGGAATTTTGATGAATATTTCCGTATATCATTTTGTCACAAGGTCATGTAACGACTGAATAAACCAAAACTGTGGTGCATTTTTATTCGGTGCCACATTTCCAAGATTAAACAACGGAAAAGTCTAGAAATGCACAACTCTTGAGGACAGAATATTCGAAACTTCGGGAAAATCCATATTGGAAACATTTATTTCTTGATACTAATTTAAAATAAGCAACAAAGTTCAAGAAAGAGGTGTGGTGAGAGCTGGCTGCTAGCCAAATTGGTAGGCAGTAATTTACGTCAATGTTTATGTCCCCAATATTGGTCGTGAGAAAAATGAGAACAAAGACTTTGGGTAGGCGGATACAATTTGCAGATAGATGATCTGACATTCATGAAACAGCGTTAAAGAGATGAAAGATTAACTTTCAGTGAGAAACAACCAACCAGAAGATTGCGTTTTTCTGCTAACAAAAATCTATAATAATGTACATGAAAATCTATAAACATGTGTTGATTTCCTTAACAAACGATCTGTTGCCTGGCCCTTGTCTTCTGTTGTTGCAGAAGGACTTCATGAATTCATCGAATTTCGGTAGAACCCTTCACATGGATTTTCTACATACAGGGGAAATATATATATGCTGTTAGACCGTTAGAATTACATTTGGAGATATAATAAGGATAAGTAAATAAACTACACTGAATTAGTCATGCAAAACGACAGGTGTGAACGTTTTTCAGGTGATATTCAGATAGATAAGGGCAAAGGATATACATATTTATTTATTCCCCCGTATGTAGAGTATCCAGCTGAAGAGTCCTACCAAAATTCGATGAATTCATTCAGTTCTGCTATATCAACCTTTGTTGTGTGCTTTAAAATCTATATTTCCTGTAAATGTTAAAACTCAAAATATTCGCCACCAGTCCATATGAATTACAAATAACCCACTGGGTAAAACTTGATCATGCATATGATATATCAACATTTCCGCAT